AGTGACTGTCAAAACTGAAAGGGAAGTTAAAATCATTTTAGTCTAATCTTTTATTCAACAACAGGAAACTGAGACCCAGAGAGGTAAAACAACCTCCCCAATGTGGTATAGCCAGCCAAATGCAGAGGGGAGCCTACACGTTGGCTCCCAAGTTCTCACTTAGTGCATTTCCTGCTGTTTATGGGTCTCCTGCTCTCTAGCTGAATCTTATTTAATTTGCAGGCTTCTTAAAAGGATTGTTTCTGTTTCTTCCTCCCTCTCCTAGTTATTTTGAAGCCCATGGTTAATTGAGAAGTGAAAATGTTGCCCCTATATTTTAGCACTGGGTATGCCAGTCACATCCACACCACAGCAGTGAACAAGGCCTCGGAGGCCTGCTAAGGGGAGCATGCCAACAGCAAGCAGCAGCTGACCTCACTCTCCTCACATCAGAGGTGTGATCCTCAGCTCGTGGGACTTCCTTTCCTGGTTAATAGCTTGGTTAGATTGTAGAAGGTCCATTAGAAAATTTCAGCTCTCAGGCTCATCCATTACTGGTTGGGAAAGGATGCCCTAGTTTGACTAAACATGGGCCTCACAGGAGACAGAACTGGGCCTTGAAGAAGGAGAGAGGAAAAGTAGAAGGTGACTGGGCATGATTTTCGGCAGATGCTGTGGGGATGGTTGCAGCTGACATCTGAGTTGGAGAAGTTCAGGGTCATGGTTTCTGGAAACTTCAGCTCTCTTGGAGAAAAGCCATTTGATCCCACAGGATCAAAAAAGAGAGAAATAAACATCAAAATCTCCAAATTCCACTGCCCAAGGATTATCCATGAAGGAAATGACCGACTAGTCATATAATTTCTTCTTCTGACTCTTACTAAGACTCTTCTGACTCTCTCTAAGGAGAGCCTGGCTGAAGACAGAAATGTGGTCTTCAGTTTGCAACTGAGTAAAAAAGCTATGACAAATAGGAGCAGAAATAGAGAAAAATAGAGCTAGGTACCATCTACATTCCTTGGGGGGGCTGTATTTCAATGACAGGTGTCCTGATTTCTCCTTCATCTATCCTTTCTTCAAAGACTGACCTGAAAATGTTAAAGACCACAGCCATCTTTTCTTCCCATTCCCCCCAAAAATTGCTGTTTGTCTAACTCAAGGGATGAGCAGTGACTTATGACCCATAGGGACACAGCCTTTGGAGTCCAGCACAAGTGGTGGGCAGTGCCATAGGAACTAGATTTCAGAAGAGTGGTTGGGCATGTTGGGGCACTGAAGATAGGATGGAAGTAGGCAAAGGGCTGATTCACTGGATAAGAGGCCACTGCTCTTGAAAGGTAACAGAAGACTTTTGATTGATAAGAACAAGAGTGTCAGAAGATGAGAATCTTTGGCCCATTGAAGAGGGCTTCGGTTATTGAAAAGGGGTGAAGTTAATTTGTTTCCTCTTAATGAGAGTGTTGGCAAAATTCTCTTTCGAAGGTTCCATCTCTGGGGTGGAGTGATGTCCTTGCCTGTGAAGACAGTGGCCAGAGACTAGAAATACTTGGAAGTGAAAGGCATCTCACGAGGAAGGCAGGAGAAAAGAATGCATGCCTGTCATCATAACAGTCTGACTCAGAGCTTCTCTTTGATTTGGTCTTTTAAGAAAACTCTTCACTTTTCCTCCTCGGTGGAAAGAAGGGGAACATTAAGGATGACTGGGTAGGAGGGAGAAAGGAGACCAAGGGTCAGGCCCCTGGGGCATCAGAAACCAGGGACAACTGATCCTCAACTGATTCCTGCTACATCCTGCTTCCTTGAAACACTCGCAATATGTTGCAAAGCACATTACTGTTACCCCCCACTTCTTGTTTTATATTATAAAATACAAACAAATGACAGAAAAGATTGTTGACTTTTGGCTGCCCACTGCTCAGAACTTCAAGGACCGCCTCTTCCTCCCGGCCGTGAGACGGTGGTTGTAGGGGCGCATCTTCATTTCCACAAAGGGGATGGAAAACTCATGGCCTTTCCAATGATACCAGTTGATCCCCTGGGAAGGAGAAAGACAAACAAGTGATAGCCTCCTCCCTCCTCAATGGAACACAAGCTTGGAAAGTAGGGGGAGGTGAGGGGCAGGGACCCCAAATTGTGAGCTTTACTGGGAATGTGTTGCAGGTCATTCCTTTTTGCCAGCTTTATGTTTTGTCTGTGTGGATTTGCATGCATCCGTACCCAGTGTTGAGCTGCAAAATTACAGAAGCATGGAACCACTTGGAAGGGAATCATGTTGTTCAACTGCTCACTTCTGCTGGGGGTCTTGGTGGTTTCCACCTGTGGTGACCGACCAACCTTGTTTGCCCCAAACTAGGAAGTTTTCAGGTTTCACTGGATACCAACCTTTCAGTGCTAAAACCAAAGTCCTGACTGGTCCTGTTGGTCACTCTATCACCCAATACAGCTTATGGTCTTTAGTGGGGGAAAGATAATCCAATTTACACTGGTATTTCTGATTCTCCTTTCTGGCACTATACTTAGGATGAAGTCGAGACAGTGAAGCTGTTTCTGGAATTGATAAAATCTTCATGGGCACTTCCAGATGGGGAAATGGAATGGAACTTGACTGTTCACCAAGGGGTCTTCTCTGGTTGAGTTCTAGCTCCTGGGTGTGGATGCTTTCCTCACCTTCCTCTGGCTTCTACTCTAGTTCTGTCTTAATCCCAGTGTCTGCATCATTTTCTTCCTGAAGACTGAGTATCTCCATTTCAAATGACAATGTAAAACATGTGTGCATTTACAGTGAAAGGTAAGGAGCTATGAATTCCAGTTCTGGTCATTTCTGAATGTAAGGAGGCCCATTTTGGCTGAGCTCACCCACCTGGCTGTGCCTGGACTCCCCATACTTCCCATTGAGGTTGGTCCGGTGGCAGTTCTTATACCACCAAGCCCCCTTGTATGACATGGCACAGTTGGTAACGGCAACATCATTGTCTCTGTCCTCTGTGGAGAAAGGTCGTCCCTGATGATAGCTGAGGGAGTCCCCTGGAGAAAAGATACATTCATGAGATGCTCTGATCTGTCACTCTTTGGTCAGGATTTTCTGGAGACTTTTGAGCCACTCTCAACAAACATGGCCTCCATTTAAGGGACATTCCACTTACCTCTCCTGTTTCTACCCAGTGTATTGGCCTGATTGAACTCAGCTCTTACTTCCTCTATCCCAGGGATAAGCTGCTTCCATGCTGCCCTCCCCGACACATTCTTCATCCCCCTCACCTTCCTCTGAGAATTCTGTCCACTCAGGGTCACCTCACTGCCCTCACCTGTTTCCTCCAGGGCAACACCAGGATGTAGCATTCACAGCTCCTTTTGTCTCCGGAGGAGACTGTGATGACCCACAAGACTGAGTCTAACCTGTGTCACTGCTGTGCAGTCACAGCCTGATAAGTCTCCATGACCTGGTCATTCCACAACCAAAACCTCACATGTTAAAAAGGACAGTAGTTAACCAGAATTCCTGTTCATAGGAAAAGGATAATGAAGAAATTGTAGTCATGTCAGAGGAGAAGTGGATGGGAAAACTGGGGCTGCACCTTAGGGCAGAGCAAGCCCGAAGGGGTAGACACTGTCTCCAAGTATTGGATAGGATACTGAGTTAAAAAAAATTAAATTAACTCTTTGGGGAAATTATGAGACTCAATAAATGGAGCACAAAAGGAGGCATATAATTTGGCTAAGTACATGAGAAGATATTAATCAAATATTGGAGCTGCTAATAAATGGGGTGGATTGCTTGAGATGCCATGAGATCTCTACTCTCAGAGGCAAACAGAGGCTGGATGTTCTCATTGGGATGTTGTTCAGGGTACTCATATGAATTGAGCATTTGAGGGGATTTATCAGGGTGTAATTAATTCATTATAATTGATCATACTTTTGGCAAGATCTGTGATTAGAGGTGCTTAATTTCATTCATACTACTGAGTGAAATTATCTTAGATGTTTCTGGGGTTACTTTAAGCTAGGAGAGGCTAGAATTCTCATTAGTCTATGCTTACAGTGGCCACTCACTACCTCTAAAGCTTCCCTCCACAACTGATATTTATATTATGGGTTATTTATATTGTGGGAAGCCTGATCTCCTTAGGCTAGTTGGATCTCTAACTTAACATATCATTGTCTCCATCCCATCCTTATCATCTTTCTTGTCCAGGTTTTGTTTCCAGCTAGAGCTAATCCCACTACATGCAACTCACTCCTTCCCATTTGTTTCAGGGCATGGAGAAGGCAGAAAAGATATCTTACTTTTGTGTGTGTGTGTGTGTGTGTGTGTGTATACACACTAACATTTTTACTTTCTCCCATCCTAAATCATATTAATATGCTCTATCTTAAAATTCTTAGGCTAATCTTACCTCTAGTGTCCTTGACTGTATTGTCTCTCCCCACATTCCTATTATCCTGTCTGTAATCCAAAATTTGCCCTCATGACTCCTTTGCAATAATTACTTCCAACTTCCACTCTGATATTGCCTGTGCTGTCTCAGATATGATCCAGTGTCGGTCTTTATCTCCTCCCTAAATCTGCCTCCCCTTCCCATTTCTGCCTCATCTACCCACCTCATATATTCAGTACATTGTCTCAGTCTTGGTTTTTCTCTTTCAAACTGCTGTTCAGATTTATACCTTTCTCTTAATTCTGCACATGAGCCAAAGCTCCTATTATCGCCTGCCAGGATAAGTGCAGCAGCTCTGTTCATTCAGCTTTATCTTGTTCATGGCTGTCACATTGACCTTCCCAACACCCTCCCTGCCATTATGCTACTCAGGACCTACCAAAGCTGAAGGCTGAACTCTGTCCCCTGACTTTGAAGACCCTTCAGAATCTGGTTTCACCCTTTACTCTTCCAATCTTCTTTCTTTTCCTTCTGAATATATACCACACCCTACACTGTCAGGCCCTTTACACCTTCACTCTTTCCATAGTAGCTTCTCCTTCTGTGACTTTTCTTCCAGAAATTTTCTTTTGTCTTTTCCAGAATGTTTGTCTTATCACTGGGATCCTGGTCAAATGCTGTTGACTTCATGAAGCTTTCCTCAAGCCTTCAGAACCCCATCTCTGAATTGGAGGTGAGTATCCCATTTCCTTTGTGGTGAATTACTGCCTATTTATTTCTTTTAAAAATATATGTTTAGTTTTTGCAGAAGTTTTTTTTTTTTTTAAGATTTATTTATTTATTTATACAAGAACGGGGATGGATACAGGCCAGATTTGCGGGAGGGTGAGAGGATTCACCAGAGACAGCGGGGAACAGAACAGGCAGACTGACGAAATACACTGCTGAGGGGAGAAGCAGGTGTGACAGGAGAGGTCTGCCATGCCATGTGGGATCCTCGCCTGCAGGCCAGGATTGAACCGGTGCTGCAGAGGCTGCGGACAGCTTCACAATACTGCGCTCAACCACCTGTGCCACCAGGGGAGGCCTCAGAAGTTGTGTTTTATGCTGCTTTTGAAAGTGTTTTATGCACTATGAATGCTTAGGAGTCAATCAGTAACCTTTTATTGATAACGTTATGTGTAATCTTTAGTACTATTCCAATTAGAGTCCTGGTTAGAGACTTGTGCTTTTGTAGCCTTGAGAAATGGTAATATAGAAGGGATTGCACTTATATTAGATGCCATGGGGGTAGATTATTGTCAGTCAGGATGGTAAGGATGAACAAACACCAAAGAGAGAAACCAGGGACAACTAAAAGTCAGGAAAAGGGAGGATGGTCCTTTCTTCCCTGAAGCCCGTACAGTCTAGAAGGAACTAGAATTCTTTCATGCCTAGAGAGGGGCAACCTATATAAGCTCAGGTTTAAGATCTTGGGAAAAATGAACTTGAGTGTTTGAGGTGAGGGGTCAGGGTGTGGTTAATTTATGATAATTGGCCAAATTATTGGCAGGATTTGCCCTTGACATATGACAGCAGAACACAGTCCAACAGTTTTGACCTCCCAGGGACCTGACAGTGTGAAAGAACTGCAACAGGGGCAGCAGTGACTGGGCCAGATTAAAGCATAAGCTTGGAGCAAGTAGAGAGGAGGCAGGAAGGTGGGTCTTGAAAGGAAGTGGGAGGGCTTGCTTGTCTTCCTGGCAGAGAAATAATAGCTGCTTTTCTACAATTTTAATCTTAGAGGTTGGACAGTATCTGGTTATTTTTGAAATGACTTAGTCTGATATATATTTTAATACACTCTGTTTCAACTGCAATTTTAAACTCAAAGTGTTGAAAATTGGATCTTTTGTTGGGGGCATATCAGGCTGGTCTGATTGCCATTGGGCATGATCTCAAATAAGAATAATAACAAAAGAAAAGTATATCTTCTCAGGGAGTAACAATACCTCGCCTAGAAGAGAAATAATTGCACAGATGCAATAATTGGAAGGCAACAACTTGATGGTCTTTTTCATCCCAAGGGGTATAAAAATATTGCTAAAATTATACACTAGCCTATAGCCCTAGAATTGGAGTTAATGAGAGAACCAGTAACTCCATGCACCAAACAGTAGAATATTTGGAAAAACAGGTTTTTGAAATGTGCATTAATAGAATCCAGGAAATAGATTGCAAAGCTTAAGAAGTAGACTGGATATTACCTTCTAATAAAACGATTAATGCAACAGAGTGTACAGAGATGGTTATTCTACTTAGTTGAAATGTTGTGAAATCTGTAAGAAAAAAATGACATGTAAGGTGGCTTCGTGGAGAAATGAAAAGAAATTTGGCCAGTGAGGAACACTTAAGTGGTCGCTCACTCCTCGACAGTGTTAGGATGGAAGGGGTGCATCTCAGTGAATGGGGGACCTGTTTTATTTTCATTAGTTAAAAGATTGCTTTCCTAAATATCATTGAGTCAAGATTTCTACTCAGACAGTAGATGATTATGCTTTCACTGGATAAGAGCCCATGTTGATTAATCTAGACAAGAAAAATAATCTTTTACATCACACTTTTTTTTTTTAAATTTTAAAACCACCTTCAATGCATTCATAACATTTTTCCCCCCTGAGTGCTCTGTCAAGTAGAGCAGGCATCGTTATTATGATTTTCCAGATGAGGAAACTGAAGTTCTGAGCCACTGGTTTCAGGTCATGTGAATGAGCGGGGGCAGCCTGGGCTAGTGTGGGTGATTCTTAGCCTCCACTCTGCACCCTGAGAACAGGAAACATCTAATCTATGGGTGCTGCCACTGCAGGGTGCAGCTCAGGTTGAGAACGCTCCCGCCATCCTGCTACATGATCATTTGCCAGAGGTGGGTGTGTCCAGGGCCAAAGTACCTGCAGTGCCATTGTAGTCCCCTATGCGGAGCTTATACAGGCTTCTGCTGTCCTCGATGGAGAACTTGTCGTAGGAGGCGAAGGCAGCTTCCTGGCCATCCCGCATGTCCACGCGCAGCTCATAGCGGCCCTGGGATGTGATCTTGTGTATGTTGTCCAGCCCTGTGAGAAGAGAGGGAATGAGCCAAACAGCTTGGTTATGGGAGGGAAAATGCTACTGTAGTCTCCAAAAAGATGCTAGAGAGAAGAGGAGGAATGTCTGAATTCCTTTTGACTTTAGCCCATCTTGGGGTGTTATCAAGTAGATCCCATCACACACTGATTTTCCACTTGTAGAAAGGTTGACCCAGGTCTCCTGGGAAGTTCCCACAACAGGTCAGCTCAGGAGCTATAACATGTAGTCTTGAACTAGTAAGAGACATACCTTGAGCTTCAGGATTCTTGCCCCCACCCCCACTTTCCACTCCAAACCGTGGTGTTGGGTGATAAGACGCATTATGTGGGCATGGATCCTTTGGTGTGAGTGGCAGATCACATGAGGTAGAAACACTGACCAGAGGAATTCAGGATGAACCTTAGGGGTCCAGGAGGTCCAGACATGCTGCCATCTTAGAATCCTGGAAAGGGAGTTCTGTGCACCTTTCATTACACTGCTCCTCCTTCTCTCACCGCCAACCCTCCTGGGGCTCCCAAAGCCAGGTCAGAGAAGATTGACCCCTGTCTTCTGACCCCAATTCCTTTCTCTGTAATCTACCAGCTCCACCTTGCATGCTACTTCTTCACTGGTCTCCCTGAGCCGTTACCACACTGTCCATTCTCTCCTTGGCCTCCAAGCTTCCCAGGCCTTCATCTAATACCTCCTTGTAGGGCTGAACCCCTGTAAGCCCAGAGTCTAGCTGTTGCTTAGATCCAACTTGGTAACACTACCTGGTATGATTTTTCTTGTCTTCTAGCCCTGGATGGCTGTGTCCTGAGACTTTCCAAGTGTGACCTACCTGTTCAGGCTTTGAACCACTCCCTGGCATTGTTAGTGATCTCTGAGTCCTGATTTCTATCTGCCTACTGACTTGGGGTCCTGTGACTTTGCTGTGACATCTGATACCTATCAGCTTTTGCCATGATTTAGAATTACAGAATGGCAGAGATGTTAGAGAATTTAGAGATTACATAAGCTAGTTTCTTTGTTCTGTGGAAGAGAGGGCTGAAGTCCAGAGAGGTGAAGTGACTAACTGAGGGCCAATCTGTTTCTCTGCTTCCCTATCCTGTTTGAAAGTTAAAGCTTGATATTGATTATAAGTCAAGATGGTTTGAAAGCTATTTGCTATTTACTGACCCGCCATGCCCCCTAGATTTCTGCATATGTGGGTGGAGTGAATTCTTGGTGTCCTACCAGATGCCCTTCATTGGAAGGTAGTCACATCCCGCAGCCGCTACCAACTCAAAGCTATCTCCTTGGATAATTTCCCTTAATCAAATAGGAGTCGCTCTACCTTGGAAGGTACAGTCTCTTTTCCTCATGCTTTGGGGCTTACCTCCACCAATGCCCGAAGTGTGTGTGGGATTACATAAGTCCTGTTCCCTTGCCCCACTGGTGACCAACACGGAGAAACAACTCATGCTCCAGCGCATCCCTGAGGAATGCAGCTAGTCTCCTACCAAGACTATAGTGTTAGGCTTTTTTCCCTACCCTATCCCACTTCCCCCATTCTCCTTCTCTGAGAGCACTGCCCTGATTTGGATAAGAATCCAATCTGAGGCTCTTCTTCTAGAGAACTCAACTTAGCACATAAATCATGGGTCAGACTGTTACTCCCAATCTGGGTATTGAACTACTCAAGAGCTCTCACTGGTACCCTATTTCTTTTTTTTTTATTTAAAGATTTATTTTTTTAATTATTTATGCATACAAGAACTGGGGTATAGGCCAGAGGTGCAGGGGTGGTGAGAAGATTCACCAGAGACAAAACAGTTGGGGAGCAGAACAGTTGGATCTACTGAAATACACTGTGGAGGGGAGCAGTGGGCCAGACAGGAGAGGTCTGCTGCGCCATGTGGGTCAGCTCCCTGGCCCAGGGATCGAACTCATGCTGCAGTGACTGGCAATAGCTTGATAGTGCTGCAACTTTAACCCTTGCACCACCAGGGAGGCCCTAGCTCCCTATGTCTTATGGCATTAAGTCAAAAGCTTCTCTTCCTGGTTCTAGATGTTATAACATGCCTTGATCAGCCCAACTAACCTCCTTTTCTTCTTTTCCTGACTTGCCCCTCTCTTCTGGTTGAATTGCTTCTTCATTGTTCTGTTTGCATACAGTGAAAAGATTCCTGCCTCCTTTCTTTTTTTGTGTTCTTCCCTCTGTTGTTCTTCTTGCTCATCCTTCCATGCTTTCTCTATGCTGCTGAACAATTCCTTCTCATCAGTAGGCCATAGGTTAGTACAGTGTTTCCCAGTGAGATGGTATCTCCGAGAAATAGCTTGGGAATAAGGACTAAATAACCTTACACATATAGGGAGAATGGTATATCCAAATTCTCTTTCTTAGTAGATTAAGAAGAAACATGAACCTTGATTCTGACATTAACTCTCAATCTCAGTTCATTCCATTACTTTAAGGTTTAACATCCAACACTTTCTAAACTCCATTTTTAGCACTTACAGCAACAGGAAGTTTGGAGTGCTCCCATTTTAATTCTCCTGTAAGAATATACATGTAAATATATATATATATATATATACATGTATATATATATATATATTTTTTTTTTTTTTTTTTGTGGGAGCCTCGCCGGCGGCCAGGG